GTGGTTGCTGCTGCATGTTGTAGTTGCTGAAGTCTGATTTTAAAAGTAGATTTGTGAAATCCTGGGTGGTTGAGCTGGTAGAGGATAAGAGAGATATGTTGTTGTGTTTAAAAATCTTCGATAGTCTTTAGAGCATATATGGTGTTATGGAAAAGGGTTGAGTTGGGAATTGATGCAGTAAGACCTGCTTTGTGTTTTGCTATATTTGTATACTTGTTTGTTATTATAGAGCAGAGAGCGGGAAACAGTGCAGTATTTTGGACTCTGTAACTGATTCTGAATAGGATTACAGCATTAATGATATATATTGTTTGTTTGTTACTAATTTTGGCTTTTTTGATTTTTGTTAGTGCATTTGTTGTTTCTGCTATAATGATGTTGTGTATTGGTGTTAGCTTTTTTGACATTGAGTACCAGCAGCCTAGGAATCTAAATGCTTGTTTGTGTTTTATGCTTTCTATAGTAGAGCCATTGAATGAGATACTAGGAGTGTCTGTAGGGTTTAGGGTGGCTAGTACTGACTTGTTAGGGTTTACTTATATGTTGGTGAAGCTGTAGAAGGTTGTTGCGGTGTTAAGAATTGCTTCCAGTTGTTGTTTGGATGGTGCGATCCATGTTGTGTCGTCTATGTAGGCCAGGACCTTGTTTGTTGTAACATTTGTATACATGGTGTAGCCTGTGTGTTCTCTAGTGATTTTTGTTAGCAGTGGATTATAATATATGCGCCAAAGCAGAGGCGTTATGGTCTCACCTTGATCGATGCCGTCGTGTACTGGGTACGGCTCTGTAGTGATATGGTTAGTTATTACTGTGTTGTGTCTGTTAGTGAATATATCTATGATAGGGTTTGTAATAGTTTGTGGTATCCTAATTCTGAGTAGTGCTTTCTTCAGCAGTAGGATATGGACAGAATCGTATGCCTTTGACATATCCTGGGATAAAACCCATAGTTCTTTTGAATATATGTTGGCCTCTTCGATGAGATGTGTTAGAGTCGTGATTGGTAGTGTTGTAGATGTGTTAGGTAATGCGACGTGATTGTTAGTATTAAGAATTGGGTACCGAGAAAGTATTCTGTTAAGTCTATTTGTAATTATCTTAGTAAGTATTTTCCTTGAATATTCTATCAGTGTAATAGGTCTAGTATGTTCTAAGTGTCCAGTAAAGGTTTGTTTTTTTGATATCGGGTATATATGACTGTTTTTTCATAAAACTAGTATTTGTTGTAGCTGTAGGCAGGCATTGTTTATGTTAAGTAGTATTGCAAGCATAGTGTTGTCTAGGTGCTTTAACATTTTGTTAGAGATGTTTTGTAGGCCGGTAGCTTTGTTGGCAGGTGCTTCTTTTATAACTATGTTAAGCTCTTCTATTGAGATTATATCTGAGAGATTCTTGTATTAGGAGGTTTGTATTTTAGGTATTGGTTCATACTTTTGTTGCCATGTGTTCCAGTATAAGGTGTCTGTGGAATTTGATTTAGTCCATGCTTTGTAGTGAGTTCGTATATGATTTCTGATCTGAGAAGGTTCTGTAATAATGTCAGTTGGTGTTTGTATGTTATGGAGTATTACTAGATCTAAATGCCTTTTCAATATACTATCGATCATCTTGGACGTATTCTTGGCAAAATTGTCATTTCTATTTTGGATGTGCTGATTTATAGTTGTGTATAAGCAATATTGTTTTCGAGCTTTCTTGCATAATAGATCATTTTTTGTATAGCTTTGAGTTTGCCTATTGTTGTACTAATATTATCTGCTGCTAGATCCTTGTCTGTTATTGGATTGATGCTACTTCGCTATGTTTATTTATTTGCTGAATTTGCAAGTTAATTTGGCGTATGTCCAGGTTTTGTTAGTCTTGTTGTTTAGGTTTCTAATTAGTTTGTTAATTGTTTCGCAAGTATAGTGTAGTGTTGTGGCCTTGGTTGAAAAGGCGTAGAATGTTTTGGGTGAGGTCGTAATAGTTGGTATATGTTTCGATGCTGCATTTTTTATTGCTGTATAAAATTCGTGCCAGTGTTTGTTGAGAGTTTTGAGGTCCTCCTTTATCTGTTGGTTTACAATACCGCTTTTGCTGATCTGCTTTGTTGCTGTTTGGGTAAATTCGGTCCATAGGTCTGTTGTCATTTGGTTGTATTGGTATACTATTCGTTTTCTCCTTTTATTTCTGGAGTTTTTTATCTTTGTGTTGTATTTCCATTCTATACTAATGATTTTGTGATCACTATTAGTGATAAGGTCTGCTAACAGTAGTGTAGGACAAGTAAAGGCATGTATAAGGTGGGTAGGTAACCATATGTCATCGATTTGGCTTTGTTTGTTTTGTCTAGACCATGTAGATGAGGTAATGTTAAAATATTTCAAAGAACTGACAAGCTCAGTTGTTTGCATTGTCTGAAAGACAGGGATGCTCTTAGTGTGTTTATTGCAGTTGTAGTTGAAGTCTTCTAGTACTATAGTATGGTAGTTGTTCTTAGTGGCTTGCTCGATCCATTGTGTGACTGTTTGTTGTGTTTCCAGGTTAAGGTCTTTGTTGTTGGGTGGTAAATATACAGATATGATCCGAGTTCTGTTATAGTTGGGGAAGAAGAAGTCGATTGCAATAGCAGTACTAGAACATGTAAAAATGTTGTGAATATATGGATGGAGTGGTTTTGTAACAGCTATTGCTGTACCCATGCTTGCTTTCTGGGTTTTTGCTGTTAGAATATCACAGTTTGCGGTATATATGTAGTAATAAGGATTGCTGGTTTGTAGGTTAGTATATGTAGATGCAGGTAGCTTTGTTTCAGTCATGCTTATTATGTGGAACTGGTGTGTGTTGCAGAATTCAAGCCATAGTTGTGTTTTGAGCCTTGTGTTTAGCCCTTGTATGTTGTGTGTGGCGATTGTTATTTTGTCGTGTATAGGGGGAGCAGTGTCAAATTCATGTTCTGTTGTATTATTTTCAGTTAATGTATCTGTGGTGGTAGGGTTGATTTGGGGTGATGTTGTTTGGTAAGCAAGTTCAGCATTATTAGATAAAGTCATATTATTGAGAAAAGATTCTCCAGGTAGGTTCTGGGAGAGGTGGGAGTGCTAAAATGGAGTTTGGTATAGTTTTGACTGTAAAATGTTGATGTAATATTTTGAGGGTTTCAGGGGAGCCTTTTGGTCTGTGATGGGAAGAGTTAGTTGTGTTGTGTCGATATCATTATTTTTTAAGTAGTTAAGGATCTCCTCTAACTCATTTGGTATTGTTGGTTTTGTTGGTGGGGTGTTTGTCAAGTTGGTTTTTTCTGTAATGTTGGTTTGGATTTTTATCTAGGAGTCAGGAATACAGTAGAAGTAGTAGAACTCTCTCAGTAATTTGGCTACCTCAGTTAGAGTTTTTGTTGAAGTGATAGGTGTTAAAATACTGTAGTCTGTAATTTGCTCTGGGTTTTCAGGAAGTTCAGGCTTTTCAGTTGGATTAGCTGTCATTATTTCTGGAGATAGTGGCAAGTTAACCTTGTAGTTCTGTTCTATGTTCAGGATAAACCCCATAGCATCCTGCTTGTCTTCAATTGGGAACGTATAAGTCTTCATAGTTTTGATCTTGTTTGGGTCCTTGGAGAGAGAGAGTTTTGCTTGGTAGTAGTCATTAGATAAGTTTTTGAAGGTGTATTCTTCTCGTAATGCTTCGATAATTCTTTGAGAGTTGCTATGGCAGTCATTTGGATCAAGTGGGAAGTAGCTTCTATGTTTAGGGCTGAGGTCTTGGTATGCTAAGGGCAGGTGAGTCTTTGGTGATGGCAAGTCAAAATAGTTGGATGTGATTGTTTTGACTTCATAGTATTGGCTAAGTTTCTTTTGTATTCGCCTAGGTCTCTAAGGCATTTTCTATCAGTGATTGGGAATAAATCTCTTATTGCAGGGTGAAGGTTGGCCAGATTTGTTGGAAGAGGGTCCAGGTTTGCGAAGTATTCCTCAGGTAGCTGATCAAATTGATAAATGCGATGAAGTGCTGTGACTACTGCTTTAGTGTGGGCTTTGTTTTTTATAGGTAAGGTGAAAGGTAATATTTGTTGTATGTTTTCAGGAATATCATCTGGGTGATTAGGTAGTTGTAGAAGTTTGCCTGAGAGGGCTTCTTGAACTGCTTTTTGGATGTCCTCGTGTTTATTCAGCTCTGTGTCTTTTGTAAAACCTTTGTAATATTTTATAAGTTGTGTGATGTATCTAGGAGGACAAGTATTGAGTTTGTATTTGTTATATGATCAAGAAATAATTTTTGTCGTAATTTCTGGTGGATGATGTCTCTTGTTTCTCTGTTGGTTATTGTGATCTGGTTGGCTTTTTTATAATTTTGTAGAGCATTGTAAAACATCTCTTCGTACTCAGTTTGGTGTTGTGGAATAAAGCGCTTGGCTCTAGTAAAGGTGAGGAAGAATGTTCTGTCGAGGTGTTTAAATTTGGCAAGAAAACCTGGGGGAATTTGTTTTAGAGTAGGTTTAGTTGCGATTTTGTATTTGATAAATTCTTGTAGACTTTCGCTAGATTGAAAACCAGTAATCAGTTTATCATAGTGCCATGTGTTGTCATCAAAGGGCTGTGTGATTTCTTTTGTTAGTTCTTTGTATATGTGTTCTAACCATTTCTGAGTTGGGTCCTCGTCTATCTGCATTGTGTTGTTTATCAGGTTTTGTTTAGTTACTTGGCTGTATGAACGTGTATTAGAACTTTCTTGCTGTGCAGATATAGTTGAGGCTGTGTCAGTTTCTATTTTGTTGTCAGTTTGTGTATTTTCTAATTTGATAATAGGAGTAGTCATTTCAGTATCTACAAGGTTTTTCTGTTGGGTGATGTCCAGATTGGGCTGAGAAGGGCCTGCTGCAGGTCCCGTATTGTGTGTTGCTGTTGCTGTATTGTTGTTGTTGATCAGGGGTTTAAGAGTAGCATCATTGTTGGGTGAGGTGTATTGCCTAATATAGTAATATTGGGGTTGTTGTTGTGGGAAATAATTGTTGTGTTGTTGTTTTTTCCCAGGGACTCTGTTTGGATATTGTTAAAACCTGTTTAGACGAGTTGGTTGATGTTTTTGTTGTAGTGTGATGATGTCATAATGGTTTTTGGAGGGGGTAAGCTGGATTGTCTACTTTTGGTGTTTGAGTATGGTCTTGGGAGAAGAGTACATCATCTCTTGGAGTTTGTGGTGGTGTAGGTGAAGTCTAGTTTGACTGAAGCAGTCTTTTTGCTCTTTTTGTTTCGATTACTACTGTTGTGTTCGCTCATTTGGAGTTGAGGTTGAATAGTAAGGGTAAATGGTACGAAACAGTCCTTAGGCTGGATGTTTTCTTTGTTGTCGGTTAGGTGGTTCTTGTTGCTCTGTTTTCTCTTGATTTTGATTACTTAGAAGTGTGTACTGGTGGTGTATAGATGTTGTTTTGTCTTCTTGACTATGTATTTAGTTACTTATTTAGTTGCTTTTAAAATTTTTGTTGTATCGATTTTTATTTTCTATTAAAATTAGGATCTACAGGAAAGAGTTTTTTCATTTTTATTTTTTTATTATTAGTTATTATTAGTATATTATTAGTTATATTATTATTATTATTATATTGTTCAAAATAACTACATATCGTCACTGGTGATCATCACCAGTGATTTACAGGTATAACATATAAATCAAAGTGATTTTTTAAAACAAAGGTTTAATTTTTTTAATATTAGGTTAAGGGTGGGGATATGATATTGGGGTTAGACAAAAGTTATAGTAAAATTTTGCAAAGAATTTTTTTTGTTAAGGCCCAAAAGGTGGTTTCATAAACAAAATTTTAAGATATGATTAATTTTTTGAAAATTCTTTGTTTTTGTTTCACAAAATTAATTTACACATTACACCTAATCTTGCAAATTAATTGGGTAATTATATACTAGTGATGATCACCAGTGGCAATAAATAGCAAACTCCTATATTGTTATATTATTATCTTATATTCTATTATTATATATCGTGAAACTTTAGATATTATTAGTTAGTTGCGCATAGCATTAGAAACTGATAGAATGGTAACCGTTTCTACCTTCTTACCATTCTTACCATTTTTACTGTTCTTACCGTTTTTACCATTTTTACTGTTTCTACTGTTTCTACTGTTTCTACCATTTCTACCGTTTCTACTGTTTCTTATTATTTCTATTAGTTTTAGATAGTTTAGAAAAGATATATGAACCCTGGCTTTTCTACCTTCCTGTCAGTTAGTTCAAACATCTTTAGATAGACTCAAGTAGATACAGAAACCTTCTTTAGTTATAGGTACTTTCTTGTAATTAAAGTCTTATATACTGTAAATAAAATATATCTTTCTTTAACTATATACTTTCTACGAACTGCCTTAGTAAAGTAACATTTCACTTCCATACTGCTATAATCTCGCAACGGAGCTCTATAGCTGTGTGCTTTGTTACTTGTGCTGTATTAAGAAGGCTACAGTCCACTTG